ATACATTTTCATATTGATAGGGTAGGACAACAAAAGAAGCAGAATCAGGACAACAGCAGAATTAGCAACAAAAAAAAAAGAAGTAGAATGAGGATAAAAAAAAATAAAAGCAACACAGGACAGCAAAACCGAAGCAGCAACAGAATCAACAAAAAAAAATAGAAGCAGAATGAGTTAAAAAAAAAAACAGAAGCACAATGATCATGACAGGAGCAGAATCAATTGTAAACAATTTCATATGTAATTATATATTGAATAAAAAAAACAGAACAGAGTCACATTTCACATGTATTAAAATAATTAAACATGGTATAAGCATAGACCACTTTTTGGTACCATTTGTATATATATAAGAAAAGGAAAAAATATAACCAAGACATATCAGAGACACTTCTTTGTAGAAGAATCTATTATTTACCCCCATTTCTGATACTCCTGCTTCCTTTTTTTTATCATAATTGTCATGCAGTGCAGTCGCCTGACTCCCACATTCCACAAATATTCTAAATGAATTCAGCAACACAAGGAAAAAAAAAAATGTGTTTTGTTCGAAACATTGTTTATTAAAAAAAAAAAAAAATAGACCAGCAATAGTCTAAAAAAAAAGTCATTAGTGATTAAAAAATAAAAGAGACTACTAACCTGTAATCAGAAAAAAAAAAAAAAAGTTGAAGCAGAATCGCTTTTTATAATAAAGCGTTCGCTTTTTCGCTTTTTTCGCTTCTTCGCTTTTTCTCCCTTTTTTCTCGCTTCGCTCACGTTCGCTTCGCCTGGGGTCCTCCAGGCGAGATAAGCTCGCCTCGCCTCGCTTCTCGCCTAGGCGAGCTTTTCAAAACACTGATGGAAATTGTTTTGTAGGGTTTTATATGCAATTTTGGAGAATTAAAGGGTTTTTCTTCTTTTTTTCATCCACAAACCAATGGGCAAACAACGGTTGTTAATCGAAGTTTGGGAGATCTCCTTCGTTGACTTATTGTTGATCATGTTGTTAATTGTGATCAAGTACTTTCTATGGCTGAATTTGCTTATAACAACTTTGTTAATTGATCTTCAGGTCGCAGCCCCTTTGAGAGTGTGACAGGTTTACTTTATAGGAAACCAATAGATTTGGTTCCGTTACCCATATAGGCTTGTCCTAGTTTTGAAGTTGATGTTTTTGCCACACTCATGCATGAGATACATGATGATGTGCGACGAAGGATTGCAACAAGCAACGATAGTTACAAAGCATATGCTGATTTGAGAAAAATTTTGCTGATTTAAGGAAGGAGACATGGTTATGGTCCGTATTAGGCCTAAAAGGTATCCTAAGGGTGCATACAAGAAACTTCATTCAAAAAGTGCTGACCCTTACAAGATTATAAAGAAAATAAGCTCTGATGCCTATGTTCTTAATTTGTTGGAAAATATGGGGATAAGTAATGTCTTCAATATTAAGGATCTTACTATATATTGAGGGCATGATGATGATGATACACCTACATATGTTATTGTTGCTAAACTCCCATAAGCTCCACGGGTGAAGGAAGAGATTTAAGATGTTATTGATCATCAACTTGTGTTTGCACGAGGAGGCGGCTATCAAAAGTATCTCATCAAATGGAAAGGGGCATCCACTTTCTGATTGCACGTGGATCATCGATAATGAGTTTCAATGCCTAAATTCCTATTTTTATGAACCGTTTCATGCATTTAACTCGCCGGGTCGAATTTTTTAAGGTGGGGAGAGATGATGGGAACAAATGGAAACAACCTTATAAAGTTTATAAAAGGCGAGGAAAAGATGCTTCGAAGGCTCAAGTTTTAATTTAAGACATGTTAGATGATGCGGAGTTTGCTTGGGAGCTTGCATAAGCATAAATGGAGTCTTATTTTTAGTTGCTTTTAGTTAGTTTGATAGTATTAGTGTTTTATGTGGTGTTTTTTTATATTTTTTAGAGTCTAGGGTATTTCTGTAATTTATAGAATGAATAATATTTTTGGGTCAAATTCTATTGTTTAGTATTCTAGAATTTAAAGTCCTAGTTCTAGTTAATTTTAGTTTTCTAATTTTTTGGGATTAGGAGTACTTAGAACTCTATATATAGTTAGTGATATTTTTAATAAAAGAGAGGGAGTGATATTATAGAAATTTCTACAATTATATGTTTCTTGAGTTGTGTGATGCAATTCTAACCCTTAGGGGTTTGTTTGGATGAATTTTAGGGAGGGGTTTGGATTGATTTTTTCAAACCCTTCCAAATCCAAACCCAAACCCAATCCCCTCCTTGTAAAGATGAGATTCAACGTTCAATCCGGTTCATACTCGTGTTTGGCATGCAATACATACATATGTAGTACTCACGGATATCCGAGATTGAATTTTCTATACAAACATGAGATTTGGGGGAGCTTTGAACTATTTTTCTCAAACCCATATTGTCAAACCCCTTATACTCCCTTACCAAACAGTCCCTATGTGTGATGCCTAAAGAACCCTATGAGTGATTCATAGTCAAAGTTACTTTTAAAGTTACTGTTCACAACATAATTACTGTTCATGGTACTGTTTACAGCCCCTATTTTAACAAAGTTGTCCTACATCATTCATCTTGATGGATCATAGGATGATATGAAAACTGCTATGACTCGTTAATTTTGTGCCTGCTAATTATAAGTAACGAGCTCTTCTATAGTTCACACAGTTGAATCAAGGAAGCATGTCCATCGAGGATTACATAAGAAAGTTCTACACTTAGCCACCAGATCTGAGCTCCCATGGATTGAGGATGTAATGATCGCCATGTATAAGCAAGGGCTCAATTCAAAAATTTCTTCAGGGTTAGATGTAAGTCGTCTTTACACTATGACGGATATAGTTCAGGTTGCCTATCAAATGGAAGACAATCTGAAAAAGAGGGCTTATTTGAGGTCTTCTAGGGTGTCTACAACTCAAAGTGAAAGGATTTTTGTGGATGCAAATCTAGGTAAGTCATTGCCTAAACCACAAGAAAGTACTTTTGTCCCTAATAAACCAACTTGCCCTGGTGTTACTTCTAATTTTCAAGGAGGCGCTAACCCTAATGCCAAGACCAAATGCTTTAATTGTCAAGGGTTTCGTCATTTGTCTTTCCAATGTCCTACAAAGGCTTTTGCGACAATTGAAAAGGAAATCGTCAAGCAGACTAAAGAATCTAATGAGTTAGATTATGAGATTTAAGTTGTAGAGCCTCTTGATGTTCATGAGGCTAATTTTGATGATTTGATTGATGTTCCTATATTGGGTGATATTCGTCCTCTCTCTATTGGAAGTAAGGTCATCGCTGAGAAGCCTCAACATCGATGGAAAAAGATTTCATCATGAATTCCTCGAACTATTTCGTCAGATGGTATTCTTGCCCCCTTCCTTACTTGTCGGAGTCGAGTTTTTTTCAGAGGGGGAGAATTGATGGCGTAGCCATTGGATGGTTGGACTAGCGTGACCGAATCTGGAAATCTAGGCGAAAGGCTAAGAGTTTTTGGTTCAAAGGGAATACTTGGTAGATTTGTTAGGATTTTTATTATTTATTATTTAAATTTTTAGTTAGATTGTATTTATCAGATTGAGATTAGTAAGGATAAATTCATAGAGTTTTAGTAGTAAAATAGTTCATTTATGATAGGACATTTGGTCTATAAATAAGGATGTATTTTACATTATTTTAATTAGAGTTAAATATTAGTTTGAAATTTATTTGTCAAGATTTGTGTTTCTTGACCTAATCCTTGTGAGGATTGGTTATCCCCTTTCTTTTCCTTCCCTCTCTGCATCACTCAATTACATCTTCTACACATTGGCACCATTGAGGGAAAAGAGAAGTGGTAACAACTCTTAGGCATTAATCTTTCCCTGAGCTACACTCCAAGCAGAATTCTAAACCTTAACAAGCACTTTAGCCTTCCAAATCAACAAATGGGTTCAAAAATTAAAGAAGATGGATCATTAGTCAAAATATGGAAGCAAGATTTGCAAGAAAGACTCCAGAAAAATCAAGAATCTACAATCGTTTGTGACCCATACCTGACATTAATCAGACTGATTGAAGCAAAGACAACAAGGAGGAAAGTTCCAACACCTCCCCACCATTCAAGGCCCTAAAGAAACTAATATTCCACCCCCTTGAGAAGACGATGCAAAATACCTACTTGCAAGTTGCAATGGAAGCATCTTGAGATCGTGATCATCTAGAAAGACGAAGAAATGACAAAGAAATAGAATAATGACCCCTCCATCTCCAAAAGCGTATTTGCTCACCAGTCTCCATGCCTAGCCTCACATGCTACATGAAACCATTTAAACTCTGTGAAATAGATTTCCAAGGACAACTAAAAGAATCCCTAACTTCCATAATTGAGTCCCACCCATTGAGATGAAGTCCACTTTTAGTTTTGATAACATCATTCCACAAGGGATCGTGCTCAAGTGGGAAACTTGACAACCATTTACCTAACAAGGCAATATATCACTCTACTAAATTTCCTACACCCAAACTCTCCTTAGTCTTAGGTTTAAACTCCACTCTCCACCTAGCTAGTTGGTATTTTTTTCCCTTCATCACTCTCCTCCCACAAAAATTTTCTCATCCTTTTCTCTACCAAAACAGCTATCTTAGGAATCTTAAAAAGAGATAAGAAATAAAGAAGGCTACTAGCCAAAACTGATTGTATTAGGGTAAGCACCCCTCCCCTTGATAAGCAAGTCCTCGCCGGTGTTTATTTGCAAGAAAATGCATGCAAGTAAATTTAGGAAAAATGAAATTTGGAATTGATTCAGTTGGACTGGATTGGATAAATTTTGAAAAGCTTGTCATATTATAGTGGGGATTGATTTGGGTATAATGAGTGTATAATATTGTTACATTAGCCAGTGTCGGTTTGACACTGCCATTTTCAATTCTATGTCAATTTCGACTTCATTTTCTTTCATATATCTTTTATAGGCCTATTATTTTGCATTAATTTGACCTTAGTCTATGCTGCTTATGAGGTAATGGAGAAGGATAATCTACTATGTCCTCAGAGATGCCTATTCTTTTCATACATTACGTAAATGCAAAAAGGCAGTAATTGTGCCGTTAAAACTTCACACATGTCACAGATCAGGAGCTTCTAGTGGTACTGGTGGCTTTAACAAGTTGGATGATACTTCCTTGCCTAGTGGTTCTAGTGCATGTGCAACATCCAAAAGTGAGCAGGAAAAGACCGCTTTTTCCAAGGATCTGACAGCAGGATTAACTAAGGAGAGATTGCTAATAAAAGGAAGCAATAAGTATGTATTCACTCATTTAGGCATATGATGCTATTAGCCAGGGTCAGACTTATCTATAGCTGTGATTAAAGTTGAGAGATGACTTTTGCATTTTTGATTCTTTTGACAATATGATCTTTTCCTAGCCTCATTTTCTGATGGTCGATGCATCTCTGTCATCTGCTAGGTTAAGTAATCACGAGGGCAATAATGTCATATGTGCTAGTCCAGTTACAAAAGTCAAGGCTTCTTGGGCCCCACGAACAGGCCCTGTGGTGGCAACAAACTCAGCTCCTAATATACGTCGTGTACCTGCAACACTTGAGAGCTGGGAACAGCCACCAAGTGCAAACAAAATTCCTTCAGTTGGTGGGGGCCGTAGGGCTATCAATCGCAAGCGTGCAGTGCCCTCTGGATCTTCCTCTCCACCCATGGCTCAATGGGTTGGTCAGAGACCACAGAAAATTTCTCGCACTAGGAGAGCTAATCTGGTTTCCTCTGTCTCAAACCATGATGAAATGCAGACATCATCTGAAGGTTATTCCCCATCCGATTTTGGTGCTAGATTAACCTCTAGCGGAACGACTAGTTCTCTTCTTTCCAGGGCTGCAGCTAGTGGTACCCAACTATTTAATGAAAATGCTTCATCCCCAGCCAGATTATCTGAAAGTGAAGAATCTGGTGCTGGTGAAAACAGACTAAAGGAAAAAGTTATAAGTAGTGGAGAAGTAGAGGAAAAAGTTGGAAATGCTATACAGAATGTTGGGCCTTCTGCAATGCTTGCAAAGAAGAGTAAGTTGCTTATCAAGGAAGAAATTGGTGATGGTGTACGTAAACAAGGGAGAAGTGGAAGGGGTTTCTCATTTTCTAGGGCTAGTATTTCACCAGTAAAAGAGAAGTTGGATAGTGCAGCCATGACAAAGCCACTTCGAAGTACAAGACCTGGTTCTGATAAGAATGGAAGGTGCTGATATTTTTTTAATAGGAAATCAATATTCCGCTCTTATTTTTTCTAATGGCCTTTGGCACTTATGGAGAATTGTATCAAACATTGCAGTAACTCCGGCCGGTCTTTAAAAAAGCTGTTTGATCGCAAAGGCTTTTCTCGTCTTGGAAATGTGCCAAATATTGGTACCCCTGATATCAATGGTAGATCGTTAAAACTAACTCTTCAACTTTGAGATTATGTATGTGCTGCAGATGGTCATTATCTGTTTCCATTTTACAGTGAGAGTTTGGTGTATTTTGGCATATTTATTGAGAAATTTGCCTTTTGCTTATTCCCGTTCGGTTATTTTGGGCTCACTGTGGGCTCACAGACGTCCACCCTATACCCCGAAAAAGAAAACTCCAATGTTGTGCTTGGACCCCTAAATTATTTTTAATTAAGCATTGTTCCTATTTGTCTTAACCTCCCACCCCCACCCCCTACCCATAAAAAAAAAAAAAAAAAAAGGCAAGGAAAAACATGCACACAATTCCAATATCCCATTGACAGTTACTGTCTTACTTTAAATGCATAATTATTTTGAATATGATATTCTAGGGGAATCAGATGATGATCATGAAGAACTCTTAACAGCGGCAAATTTTGCTTGTAATGCTAGTTGTATGTCTCTGACACCAATTTCTTATTGCTACAAATAAATTTCCTTTTTCTCTTTCTTGTGCAATATGAACACATTTATAACCGAAATACTGCTTGCTTTTGCAGATCATGCCTGTTCTAGCCTGTTTTGGAAGAAAATGGAACGAATTTTCACTTTTGTTAGCTTAGAGGATAGATCCTACTTAACTCAACAAGTAATGACCATATCTAGCAGGAGAAAGATGTTTTATATTATACTTTGTTTGCATTTTCTGTAAAAAACATTAAATTTTCTTTAAGTGCCCTATCAGATTCTCATGTCCTCATGTTCTTTTGGATCAGCTGATGTATGCGGAGGAACTTCAAGATAGCCATGACTCTGATGTTTTGGTATTTCCTAAATCAGAAATATTGATATCTGCAGCATCATCAATCAATTTAGGAGTCATTTTTGTTGATTATATTGCCTCTAATGTCTTACTACGCCTTGTTCAGTGCTTAACCCTCATTATTTGTCATTTTAAATGGATGTTGATCGATGACCAAAAAAATAAGTGGATGTTGATCTCCTTTTCTCATTGCCAAAATTTTGTGTGCAACTTCGGTTCTAATTAATATTATTCAATTAGTGATGGGACTTTAAATGTGTGAGGGGGATAAAATGTTCCATTTGTTTTCCATTGAACTTGAGGCCTTAATTTATTGCTGAAGAAATAGATAAATAAAATGAAGGTAAAGAAAACTATTTATAACCATATTCGATGGTTATTGTAATGAATGTTACTTTATGTATGCTATGTATTCTCTACATAGCCTCTTTAAAAGCAGGGCACGGGTCCAGTAGATGAATAATTAGTCAATTAGTGCACACCCCCAGAAGGTCAAGAAAATTGCAGATAAGTTTAAGCAAATTGCAGAAATATCACCCAGAACTCCAGAATTGAAGAAATCTCCCCAGGAGTTTTAGAAAATTACAAAAACATCACTCCAGAAGTTCCAAAAATTATAGAAACACCCTAGAAATTTCAGAATTACATAAACATCCCCAACAGATTTAAAAAATTGCAGAATCACTCCCAGAAATTCCAGAAAATTACAGAAGTATCACCCCAAAAGTTTCAGAAATTTCAGAATCATCCCCAAAAAGTTTCAGAATTTTCTCTTGATTATGGTATGCATACTCCTATAGAAATTTGAGACTAATATTTTTATTTATTGGGAAATTAGAGAATTTGCAAATGGTCCAAAACATATTTTCTTCTATTTAAGTGTTTTCACTTCTTGTAATTATCAATTGCATTCTTGAACACATTCTTATGTTATTCTCATCTTTCAAAGTCAATCATGAGTTCATATGATCGTTATGATGCCTATTTATATACTTATCCAACATCAAGAATGTCTCAAGTTCACAATTCTCCACAACGTCATCACTATACCTATTCCACTCTTATAGTTCTCGGAGTCATCATAAAGTCCATAGTAAGTTTGAGTTTTATTATGAAGATTGTCTTGAATACTACTCTGGGACACTTAGGTCGCATAACAGTTACCGACGTCATGCTTCCCAAAGTCATCATCAAGGTCAATTTGGATCTATCTTCAATGTCATTAGTGAGCATTCAAAAGTCCAAACTGCCCTAGAGAAAAATGTTGAGATCTTTGAAATTGGAGTTGCCAATACTAAACATTCACTCGGCCAATTACGTGAAGAGTGTAGAGGGATGAAAAACCAATTATCTGAATTAATAACTCAACTTTCCCACTTGACTAAAATTCTTGCAAGTTAGCAAATGGAAGAAAATAAGGACAAGTCTTCGGTTTCACCTAATGTCAGACACCCGCATAATGATAGCCATATTTCTCTTCCGTTGGACTCTTATGCTTTTCATCATTCAAAACATACTTTCAATCGTTTGAACATTGATGCTAGTGATGAGATTATTTTTGATCCTATCATGTTTCCTACTTCATCGGAGTCAAAAGTTGAATCATCACTAATTATTGAACTTGAGGAAAAATCCATTCAGTTGGTTCCTATGCAAGATGTTGAACATATTGAACTATCTATTTTAGAATCTGTTAACAATTATTCTATGTCTAATATTTCGAATCATGATGGCATTATTGTGGATTCTTCTCCACCTAAGATTGTTGACTTTGTTTTGGATTCTGTCCCACTTGAGAGTGTAAACTTTGTTTCTTTGCCTACTGTCAAGTGTTCTATTGAGTCTGTACTATCTTATTTTCAACACCAGGGTGTTATACTTACTCCTTTGTCATTGATGTCTTGTCCCACTGAATGCCTTTTGTTCAAATTTAATGGGAATTGTGTTGCTATTCTTGAATTTGGATCTAATGCTTATTTGCTTAATTTTTCATTGAATGTTAGTATTAGTCCAAATTTTTTTTTGGAGGACATGCTACTTAATTGAGGTATTCCAGAACTTCCTATTTTGTTATCGAGCTGGTGGAATTGCTTCTTCCTCAGCACTAACTCTAGTTCTTATTTTTCCACTTCCATCGCATATTTCGAGCCAAATAGATGATATGCTTCGTGACCAAATTTACATTGCTACAGATGGAGATTGTTGTATTTATTCTGCTCAATGGAAAGAGACATTGATGGTTTTTTCATTCTAGATGAAGCGTTCTGTCATCTTCGTTCTGTTCTCGTAGTGTACTTCTACTTTGAAAACTCTCTGGAAGAGAGTTTTTCTCAACCGTGGGAGAATGATGGGGATTGTGTAGAAATTGGATAGATATTATAGATTAATTATGGTAGTTATTAGATACTTTTAATATTTATCTTTTAAGTAATTTTTTTTAACTTATGAGAGTTTATTTGTCATTATTTATTTATTTTAGGGTTTTAGTTTCCCTATATAAAGGGATGCATGTAAGGGTTTTATTTAGATTAGACTTTGATGATTATTGAGTATTGATATTACTTCCTTCTCAAAATTCTTTCTTTTTCTCATCCCTTTTTTCTTCTCTTCCCATCCCTAATTCTTCCCTTCCTAGTCTACATCACTATTCTTGAGGGAAACATCATATACAGGACCAAATAGATCCATAACAAATTTCTCTGGTCTTAAGCTACTTCAACACCTTGAGCTAAGTGCATAAACATTTATCCTATAGCAACCATAAGTTAGAGCAACAACAGCAATCTGAGAAGCACAGGATGATATACTGCAAATTGGAAACAATTTTTAATAATACTTCATCATAGGAGTCATTTCACTGCTGACTTTTTATGAATTGACGTGTTCCATTATTAAGAAAATCTAAAGCCCAATAACAAGCAAAAAAGAAAAGCAAGGGACTGTCTATCATTATCTGTTTCTGGTCTATCTTTTTTTTTTTGATAGGAAACAAAACTTTCATTTCATCGAAGGAAAAAATTGACCGTTTCATTAAAAATAATCTTGCAAGTTAAGCCCCAAGAATAGTTACTTTTAAGAAGTAAATTTCCTTCCATCCATGCTAAAGTGGTAGTACGAACCATAGAAGTTTTTGACCATGCCTTCCATTTCAACTTATTTGAGAAAAAGCAAACCTTACAATTTGCAATGCATAGCATGAATAAACAGCAAACAGGTTGAATGTGAGACCAGTTACATTGCCACAAGGTACATTGGCTTCTAGCAAGGATCAAATTTCATTTCGGTGCACAATACCGGTCAGCTTAGAAATGGGAATGGAAACAAAAGAAAAAAATTAGAACTTGATTCACCCAATGCACGCACTTAGGCCTTCCCCTGTCAAGTAACTTATTGGGAAATTGTAGTTCATCCAAAATCTTTGAAGCATCAAAATTCAGCTTAGTAATGTAAGTCCACATATATTTCCATCTTGTTAATAGCACACTAGTTCTTGCTGCTTCTTTCATTGTTAACAACGATGAAATGGAAAGAAGAACTTCATCTGGCAGTCTACTTATCCAATCGTCCCTTTTTAATCTTTCTTTGTTTTTGTTTGTTTATATGAGGTTCTCTTGTACTTTCTTTCGTGCTTTGCTCGCCCACCAATTCTTTTCTCGCCCAAGAGAAACCCAATAGTTTTGTCTGTAAAGTTTTGACTATTTGTTGATGGTACAAACCCTTCTCCATTATAGTAGCATTAATTCACACTCGTCTGTTTCGATGTACTCTGAGAATGCACTTAATTCATTTTCATATGCCTTATTTCTCCTTCCTTTGCTTGTTTGTTCTCATTGTCTCCCTTCCATCCATCTCAACATTAGCCTTATTTCTGATTACCTTCCTTTTGAGTTTGTGTTCTCTATTGTCAGGTATGCCCTGTGTTTACATGGATTTTTCGTGAACTGTTTTTGTATAGTTTAACATTCATTAATCACAAGAGGATAGTACCCATTTATCTTTTGTTAATCATGTGGATATGTGGATGAATTGTTCTGGATCCTTATATGTATAGTTTTGAACTTATTTTGCTTTCTCAGGTTGATCTTGTGCATGAAGAAGTTTCTGTATCTGATACAGTTTGTGAAAAAAGATATAGGCGCTTGCAAAATCAAAGTGGATCCAAGGAGTCAGGTAGTATATTCGAGTTGGTTGATCAATCTCAGGACACCTCTTTATTTGGAACACTAGACCCAGGAAGAATATTCAACAAAGTTACTCCACTGTACCAAAGAATTCTATCAGCTCTCATTGTAGAAGATGATATTGAAGAATACGAAGAAATTGATGCAGGGAGAAATGTGTTGCTTCAGAATGCTACTGGCGATTCACCTCTCAATGCACACCTACTCATTGATACTGAACCTAAAAGGAGGGATGGGTTAGAATTTGAATGTGAGATGATGTTTGGCGTTCAAACTCAGGACCATGGTACTGGAAGCAGATTAGTTTCTTGCAACGGGAATATTACTTTTGGTAGAAGCACCAGTATCCAAAATCCCCCATGTAATAATGACCTATTGGTAGGGGATAGTGTATCTATGCATTCACATGTCGAGGTGTTGGCTAAGCTTTCAAGAAATGATCTGGAAGGACCACAGAGTATAGGAAAGAATGGTTTTGGCTTTTGTTCCGTTGATTGCCAATTTGAGAAAATGTGTCTAGATGATAAACTGTTGCTGGAGCTGCAGAGTATCGGCCTATATCCAGAAGCAGTGGTAGGTTTAACTAATATATGCCAATGAAATGGTGGTTATCAATTTTCAATTAAAAAGCTATTTTATAAAGTTTTCCAGCTCCACTGGCAACATTTTCTGTGTGAAAGTCTACTGTCTGAGGCTTGTGTGTGTGTGTGTGTTTTTTTTTTTTTTTTTGGGGGGGGAAGGTTACATTGTTGTATTGTTCTTCATTTGTATGTGAATAGAATGGTGCGCTCATTTTAAATTATAGCATTCTAACCCTAGTTAGCTTTTATTTCTAATTATTCTAAATTTTGTTGTGTTTTTTCCCCTATATTTGCCTTTCTTTCTGGGATACCGCAGCCTGACTTAGATGATAGAGAGGATGAAGTGCTCAATCAAGAAATTGTGCAGCTGAAGAGGGGACTTTATGAACAGGTTATGTCGCGTTAGTTTAACTTTTTGCCTCATATAACATCTCTCTATCCACAAACATATCTGTTACCTCATTTGATCAGAAATTTTATATATTCACAGCACAGGCACAATGTGATTACAACATTGTTTGAACATTCGTTCTATTTTTATATGTCTATGACATATTACTTAATAAATTTTGTTTATTTTATTTCTGACATCTTAGATTGGTAACAAGAAGATGTGCTTAGGCAAAATATATGAAATCATTCAGGGAGGGAAGGAAGTGGCAGGACGGTAAATACTCAATATTTGCATGGTTTTATGACATTGGTCCTTTAAGATTTCTATCATGAGCCTAGTTTACAGATATGTTGGTAATGTTGAGGTGATTACAATGTTT